GTCCTCAACGTTGCCGTCTGTAGCTGACTAGAGCACGACCGCATCGGCCGTCACCTTGACGATCCTCCAGGCACCGCCCGGCACCTTGTGCTCAACGTGCTTATCCTGCTCGAATCCCTGAATGACCAGGACCTCCGCGGCGTGAGACCATAGGCCGAGGCGTGGTGCACGCGGCGCTCGACGACGCCTGAGCTTTAGCTTTAGCGGTGGCAGCTCACGGCGATGCCACAGCGACTCCCATGACGATGCTCAGGGCCTGCGCAAACGCGTGCCCAATGTCTTCCAGGGAGCGAAAACTGCCACGAGAATCATCACGCCGATCACATACAAAGTGAATCACTTGAGAGCCCAACGGACCGATCATGGCAGCGCAAAGTGCGGGGTCGACTGGAAGGCACTTCTCGGCGAGAGCCCTGGGCTCGAGGAAGGACGTGTCAGCCTTGATGATCAACTGATTGTTGCAGCTGTTCCGCGCCATTGCAGTGACGTCGCTCACCTTGAAGAGCCCCTGGTCCTCCCCCTGCCGAAATTTTGGCGTGGCGCTCGTCATCGCCTTGATCATGGCTGCGCGAAGTGTTGGACGCGCTCCCTCACGTCCGATCGCCACGTCCGCTACGGCCTTCAAGATCTCGCCTTTGACGCTGCTCAACGTCTGCAACGGACGGCTGAAGCTCTGCCATTCGCATAGCAGCCTCGGGTCTTCCAATCCCCCCGCAAGTTCTCGAGCGTAGGCGATGAAGCCCTCCGTCGCGCCAGCGCAGGGCGATCCACATCGACCTTCGCCCCTGGCAACTCGGCCCCAATCCACATAGCCCTCGAGCGCGGCCAGCCCCAACGCGAACTCCCTGCTCTGGAGGACGACTTGCAGCAGAGATTCAGATCGACCGATGCGCGCACCGTCTCCTGATAGAGGCCCGCCAGCCACGGGCGCTTGTCCTCCAGTTGCCACCATATGATGTCTCATTCCACACCGCCCTCGATAGCCCTCGCATAGCGAGGCTGCCTCTGGCGCAGCATGTCTAAGCTCAAGCGCCATGTTCACAGAACCGCTCATCTTGACATGGGGCCCTTCCTGGAAGCATCGGAGCGCCTGATTGGTGTCCACAGGTCACGCTGACGAACTTGATCACCTCCTCGTCGGGCGGGAGTTGGCCGCCTGAGCCACTCATCAACTTCTCATTCTACTCGAGCGCGATGCATTGATTTAAATGCCCTACTGGTGGCACCTCATTCACTGTCGGATCCCTCATCCCTCTAACTGAGAAGCCCTGCCCGTATATGTGGGCAAGCAAAATCATGATCTTACTGGACTTTACTCCGTCTCCGTATCGGCTCTTGAAATGAACAGCAATGAATGCGCAGTTGATGCGGTCACGCGTCACTAAATTGTGTTGGGTCAGATGGCCGGCTGCGTCTGGATTGAGTTATACTATCGGTGCGCCTGGCCGCTCATATTGAGTTGTCAAGCTGTCCATCTCTGGTGTAATCTTCTTGAGCTCGTCTGCGATCCAGCTCAGGCCTAGGTGCATAAACTGTTCAGCCGGCTCATCGAACTCTCGCGGGGGCTTCATCGGGACAGAACTGCTCGGGCCAGCACAGCGCTGCGAAAGAAAAGGCCGACGAGGACGAGGAGGATGAAGAGGGGGCGGGTAGAGTAGAGCCGATGAGAATTCATCGGGTCGGGGAGCCCACCCCAAGCATGGGGATTTGATGGGTCGGGGGGGGCCCACCCCATGCATGGGCATTTGCGTAATCTGATAGCGACCGAGCAGAGGTCGAGGCGCAACGGCATCGCCACACAGCTACCGACCAGGGCGAATCGAAGCTAAAGCGACCGCGGCGCAACGGCATCGCCACCAAGCTAAGGATCGAACGAGCGAGGCGACACCGATCGAGGCGCAACGTCATCGCCACCCAGCTAAGGATCGAACGAGCGAGGCGACACCGATCGAGGCGCAACGGCATCGCCACCCAGCTACCGATCGAGACGAAGTGATCCATCAATCCGCCAACCCTTTGAGGGCCATCTGGTGTGTTAGCATGTGCTGTGTACTGATAACTCTTCCACAACTTTGGGCTAGAGTATAGGCAATATGGTTTGATGTATAGGGGGCATCTGGTACTGGTGCGGCAAGGTACCGGCAAAGAAAAGTAATACAATGCACGGTCAGTCATGTAAGAATGCAGGCAACGCAAGCAATGCAAGCGATGTCAGCAAGGTTTGCAATGCAAGCAGCGCAAAGCAAGTCAAGCAACGCAGGCAATGCGCCAGCAATGCGTGCAACGCAAGCAGCATATCTATATACATTTCCTTCCCTTCAGCGTCGCGGGCCAAAAAGGACCGGACCCCAGGAGAGAGCCCAAGAGGGGGGAGGCGAGGGAAGGCCGACAGGCTCAGGAACAGGCAACCCTCACTCACAGAGACCGCCGACGATAGGATGAACGATGAGCCTGGGAGAACTGCAATCATTTTTGGCACGTGCGCTCGACCCGCCCCGAGCGCACCAGTTCAAGAAATCAGCTCGCCTGAAACTCTGTCGGCACAGCCGCGGCTGAGGCTCCACAAGAAAGATGACATGGCCACTGCCTTTGAAACACACGCTGGCGCAGGGGATGGCAGGGAGGGAACACCAAGACTACGGGTCAACATGTATAGCCGATCCCCTCGACTCACAAAAGGAAAAAGGGAAGCGGAACTACGGGGCATTTCCCCCCCTCAGCGTCGCGGGCCAAAAAGGGCCGGACCCCGGGAGAGAGCCCAAGAGGGGGGAGGCGAGGGAAGGCCGACAGGCTCAGGAAAAGGCAACCCTCACTCACAGAGACCGCCGACGATAGGATGAACGATGAGCCTGGGAGAACTGCAATCATTTTTGGCACGTGCGCTCGACCCGCCCCGAGCGTACCAGTTCAAGAAATCAGCTCGCCTGAAACTCTGTCGGCACAGCCGCGGCTGAGACTCCACAAGAAAGAAGACATGGCCAACTATCCAGAGTCTCGTCCACAATACTCTTGGCTATGGATCATGAGGGACTGGGCGGGTAGGTTCATGATCGTGCATTGCGCAGCTTACCCGGCAGGTTGGTTTTGAGAAAGTGCAACTTGGCGGCATATGAATTCCGAGCTTCAAATGGGACTTGATTTAGAACACGCAGATATATTCCGTGTTTGCTGTAGCGCATGACCGACCTCAGAGCAGCCCATTGGCCTCGGCGCTGGATCTCCGCCAGCGGCACCCCCGCGAAGGAGTCGGCGCTGGGCCCTCCGTGCCGGAGCATGTGGGGCACGAATTTCAGCGCCTCCATGCCCAGGGACTTGACGGCCTGCTCGAAGAGCTTTCTGAAGTGCGCCTGGCTGATCGGGAAGGCCTTGTCGGTCGCGGCGAGACCGCTGACCAGCTGCGGCAAGAGCTGGTTGAGCCACTGCCGGTCCGCGTGCGTCTCGCCAATGAGCACGGTGTCGTCCTGCGTCTTTGTTTTGCTGACCGCGCCGTCGGGTTCGGGAAAGAACACGACGGCCCACCGCTGAGGCCTCGTGCCTCGGACCAGCTTGAGCAGGTCGCGCCCCTAGATGTTGAGGAGCGCACCGAGCCGGCTGTAGGTGTCGAACCCGGGGAGGATCGCCGCCGCTGCCAACGGTCCCAGCGAGCTGTCGAGCATCATCATGGCCGCGGCGATGCACACCGTCGCTTCCCATGGGCATGGGTCGCGGGCGTGGCCCGGGTCCTCCTTCTTGACGCCGTCGAGGGCGCTGAGGGCCGCGGGCGGGCGCGACGCCGGGACGCGTCTCATCCAGGCACTGCCGTACAGCACGTCTCTGGCCTCGTGAGCTCGCGCTCCGACGTTGAAGAACTGGATGGTGAGGTACTTTTCGGGCAGCATGTCGAACTCCTGCAGAGAGCAATCCGCCTGCCCCGCCCGAGGGAACGCCTCCGTGAAGCTCCTCATCGCCTGCTGGTAGCGCTGCAGCGTCACCGGCTTCGCCCGGCGCCTCGCCAGGTAGCCGGCCCCCGCCTTGGGCTCGTCGAGCTGGTCGCGCTTCGCCTTCCGCCGAACGACAGCGGCCTGGCGTTGCTGCTGAGCTCGCTGCCGGCGCCGCACCGGCGCGGGCGCCCCTGGAGCCGTCAGGCTGGGCAGCAAGCGCTCGGGCCCGCCGACGACGCGAGTCGCCGCAGCCCCAGCGTTCTGAGTGATCTCCCCACGGCAGTGTGAATCTTCTGGGACAAGTTGGGATCGGCGGCGGCTCGACTGCTCCACCTCCGCACGAGGACGCCAGGTCGAGACGCCATCGGACATGTAAAACTGGTTCGCGAGGATTACGAAAAGCCAGAGGTGGAGCATGACGCTCAACCACTCGAGCCAATTCACGACAGAGAGCGGGTGGATAAGCGGCAGCAAGAGAAGTCTTCCATTTCATCGAAGATCGTCCCGAACTATCTTCAACCCGAACTTTCCCCTGGAGGATCTCGTGAGGGACCTGACACCGACAGAGTCTACCTACTTCAGCGAGGCCTTCAAGGGTTCCCATGAGACGAGTTCTCTTCCGATAAGGGGTGCCATACCGGCAATAGTCCACGACGGTCTCCTGGGCCCCCTGAGCCTCGAAGAGATCCTTGAGGGGCGTCCACTTGAAGAGCTTGGAGCAAATCGGGTTCTCGAGTATCCACTTTACCCCATACTGATGCGCAGCCTGGAGAATACGAAGCGTAGCCATAGCGGCGGGGTCCCGGATATCATCAGGAGCCTAAGGGGAACTACGGGCACTGGTCCAGTTAGTACACGGGGTGCCTAGCCAGAGCAACCAAATCTTCCCAACTTTATCCAGTTCAGTGTTTTGTTGAGAACCCGCGGGTTGGTAATATCATAGTCTTGGGACGCGTTGATGTCGAAGGGGGGGGCGACCCGCAATCCTTTTGACAAACTCCTGAAAACCGGGCACATCCTGCGAACGGCTCCAAAATGGCCAGGCCGCAGCGTGCTGGGGCAATCGGCTTGGAGAAAGTACTACCGCCTCGGCGCCCAGGAGAGCTCAGCCGAGCCGATGAAGTCGTCTCCCCCTTCGAAGCGGCCCTCAAAGGAGCCGGCCCACTTGTGAAAATCGATCGCGTAGTGTCTGATGAAGAACAGGAAAGAACGCGGACCTCGTCATCGAACGGCGACGATCCTGCACCCATGCTAGGAGGCTTGGCGGCTCGAACTCGATCTCTATCTGCGAGGTCGCGACGCCCCCGGCCTCGGAGACGCGCCCACAAGGCGCCCCCCCCAAGGCTTCGCCCGCCGTCAGCAACCCACGATCAGCGAGGCGCGAGTCCTCGTCGGAGCAGGTCCGCTCGCTGACGAGGTGCCGACGTCGCCACCGAAGTCCGCGGGCTCCCTGAAGAGCTCCTGCTCGGCGGCAAAGGGCGTCGAACTCGGATCTCCGACAGGTTGTCCCCGACCGACAGAGCCTCAGCGCCCCAGTTCCACGGGGACCTCGTATAGCGACGTAGCCCAAGCAAGGCGGCGCGAGCCTCCTTATTGTGAATGGCGTCGGCGCGGCACCAAGCTCCCACCACGACCCGGCGCCAACGAAGACGGTCAGAGTAGACGGCCGCGAGCTCGGGCACCGCGCGAGTGTCCAAGGTGACTGTGGCGTGCTGCGAGGCCACCCGAGACGATCCCGCCCTCCACGAGGTCGATGTCAGATCCGCGGCCCCGACCTCGGTGAAGCCCAGCTCCTCCTCGAGGGCGGGCGCGAGCGACATGGAGCCCGCCGCGATGGAGCTGGGGCCCGTAGCAGTGTCGTCGTCGCAATCCTGCGCGTACTCCTCGATGGTCTTGAACCGCCACCGCTCTCTCCACATCGTCGCGCCCAGGACTTGGCGCTCTGAGAGTGGCCAACGTGGAGCGCGTAGCCTTTACCGCTGGAGTCCGAGCAGAACACCGTGGTCGCCGTCCTCAAACGCATCTGATGCTTTGTGACGAGCACCAGTCCCGCCGCCGTCTGCAACTCGCCAATCACCGTCGGCGCCAGGACGCTCACCTGATCTGCGTCATCGGTGAGCCAGCGCCAAACTTTGTGTAAAACTGGCATGAACGGCGGGAACAGCATGAAATGATTGACCAGGTGCCCCACCAGACGCCGGACCTGCCGGTCCGAAAAACGCCGACACCGAATGGCCGCGTGAAGAGCGCAGTACAGCCGCCAGGTGCGCTCTGACATGTGAGCAACGATCGGGTGAGATCCACCCCGCAGCCGAAGTCCCACCTGCACGACGTCGCGCTCCGCGCGGATCTCGTCGCGCCACACGAACCCGCGGCGCTCCAGCTCCTCCAACAGGTACCTGAAGCAATCCTCGGCGTCCTCTTGGTTCCAGCATATCAGGAACGCGTTGTCCACGTAGGGCGCGAGAATGGGAAGGCCCGGCTGGAGGATTGGAGGCGGCTGGCGATCGCGCAAGACCCGCGCGTCAACCGCGTCTCTATCCCCGTGACCACGTCTCCTCATCTCCGCGCAAACCTGAACGTCCGTCAGCGCGGAGTGGCAGAAAAACAGAGACCACGTCCAGCCCATCGGGATCACCTTGACACACGTCCACAGCATCTCGTCAGCGCTCACCGAGTCCCAGCAGCGACGATCATCGTCAAAGACCGTCTTGACGCCGAAGTCGCTCGCCTTCACCCTGTGGGCCAGGCAGAAGTACCCCGCGACCTCCTCGAACTCAAACTGGAAGTAGCCATCGGTGAGGTCCGCGCCCGAGAAATGCATGTCCAAAGGACGGCCCGCCGCGTCGTGCTCAGCGGCCAAGGTTTCTCCGCCCCGCAACACGAGGCCCGCCAGCGCCGACGCCGTGGCTAGCTGACTGACCGGAGGGGCGCGGCGCAGGGCGTTCGCCGGCCTGCAGTCCAAGACCAACCTCAGGTGGCACCCGTCCTTCTTGATCACCGTGAAGGCAACCACGAAGCAACGGGCCCGTCGGCGAAAAGACAGCATGCCCGCGTCGTTAAGTTTGTGCACTAGAGCGCCCATGTGACGAGGGTCGCGCAGCACAGGGTCGAGGTAGGGCTTGATCGTCGCCTCCTCGGCGATCCTGTTCTCATCAGTTGGAATTCTGAATATCCAATTCCAAGGGTCAGCCGCCATCGGCTGGGCGTCGGGCCCTACCACTGCGCCGACTGGCTTGGGGCGAACGCCTCCGCCACGAACCACGCGAACTCGAGCTGCGTCAAAAGGACGTCGGGCAGCGTCGTCCGCGGTGAAATCGTAGACGTTCAGAGCTCAAAGGACACTCTTGAGAGCATCCCTCCTGTCAGGCCCCGAGGGAGGCCGCCCCAGGTCATGGAGCGTCTCCCTCAGCCGAGCACCCACTGCACGCTGAAGCCCAGTAGGTGCTGATACCGAAGAGCATCGCCGAAGACGATGACCCGCTCGAGCGACTGCCAGCGCGTTCAGGGAGCCCACAACTTCAGCGAACCTCCGATCACAGGCGGCCACGTGACGCGGTAAGATGCCCATCGAGGGCGCATCTCGCCTATCTCCAACGCACGGAACGGGAAAGACGTCCCGGCTCGTCGGCTCCGGCGCGTGAACGCCATCGTCGATGTCCGAGGCGAGACCGGCGCCCGCATCGCCTCCTGAAGGCAAGCCGACGGGCGGCAACACGGATGTCAGGCCCCAGGCCGTTCCCTCACGGGGATCATGATACGGGGCCGCGCCACGGCGAACAGCGCAGCCCCGGGACCGTAGAGCCATCATGGGCCCCGCGACCCGCTGGACGGGCCGCTCTTGTTCTTGTCCTTGTTGCTAGTCTTCTGGCGCTTCGAGTCTCTCAGCTCCTCCCTCAACAAACGATCGATCATCATGATCTGCGCCTGAGTCCTGCGCATCCTGGCCATCTCCATATCGAACTGTGCGGCGACCACACCGCCATCAGTGCCAAGAGCGTGGAGCACACACGAACTGAGGTTCTCAAGACGCGGGCTCCGAGGATCAAGCCGCTATGGATCATCAGCACACGGCGTGCCGCGAACTCCGCTGCCGCCAAGTTACACAACTTCAACTTATCATAACTCACCATCATGTGCAGGAACATCAGCAAGTGACGGTGCATCACAGGAATCGCCTGGACGCCGTCCTGGCGGTTAGCGCACTCCCAGAAGACTGCATACGTGCCAAACTCCTGCCCAGACGCCGCCACAATCTCGGCTAACTCCAGAAATGACTGGCCCCGCTCGCTCGGGGTGCCCACGGCCCGCATCGACTGCTTCAGCAACGTGACGACCTCGCTCAGAGGAGCCGTACTCGTCTGAGCGTTCGGGCCCAGCATCCGAGACAGCAATCTCGAATCGAGGCTCTCGCCCCCCAACTTCTCCAGCACCCAGCATAGCTTGTTGTCCGCGGAGACGCGCTCCGCCGTCGTCCACTCCAGGCCGCGCCGCACGAGCGCCTTCGAGCCCATGACCACGGCCTCCGCTCGATTGCCCAAGAGGCGGTTGTTAACCTCCTCCGCGAAAAACAAGCACGACGGGTCCGAGTACATGTACACTACATCGGCACCTGCGGCTGACATCGGAGCGGCCGGGTCTCTCGCTGAGCTCAGCAAGTCCCCCAGCGCTCGACCCTCCGCTCTGATCCTGGCCAGGTCCCTCGGGGTGATCGGGTTGTCGAATCCGTACACATGCAATCCTGGAGTGTACGTGCTTGCCCTCGCCAGCGGGATCATCGAGTTAACCAAAGCCCGATCTGACAAGTCGACCGCGCGCACCGAGAGATCGGGGGTAGACCAGATCCAGCGAGCTCTTCCAAGACTGACCAACAGTACTCTATGATGGTACGGAAAGCCATCGTCGGGATAATGAACCAAAATCTGTCTCTCAGGAATGTCCAAACTCATGGGCTCTGAGGGGCAGACGGGCCTATTTGGCGACCCACTCGAAATAGTGATACGAGACTGTATCGTGAGAAACACAGACGCCTGTGTCCGGGAGGCCGCGCGAAACAAGCTCGAGCCAACACCAAGACTACGGATCAAACGGATCAACGTGTATAGCCGACCCCCTCGACTCACAGAAGGAAAAAGGGAAGCGGAGCTACGGGGCATATATATATATATATATATATGTGTGTGTGTGTGCGGCGTATGTCGGCAACGCCACGTGTTAACTAGCTGTTTTATGTTTGACTGTTATAGCACGCTGGTATCACACTGTGCACAACATATCCCCAATTACGAGACGTACACCCCCCCCCCCCCGCATGTGTAAGTGTTGAAGCTAAGTGTTGAAGCCTACCTGTATCAATGGTACTACTTGCGGGCACCCTGCAACTATCGTAATCACAAAATAGTTGAGCAATGTGGGGAAACATGTTTAAAAGATACGGACCGTTACAAAAAGATGCGCGGAGATACGACATCGAAATAGGATACAAAGAGATGCGCAGCCTTAGCCCACTCGGGCCGTGCGGCCTGGTCGGCCATCATCAGCCCAAGGCTTCTCGCCCTGCGGGGCGTCCTGGCGCCGTCATGGCGCCGAAGCGCGCTCAGGCGCTGCATTTCGGCATCCTTCCTCGCACCGAGCTGCGGCGCGAGGCTAAGAGGGGGATTACGGCAAAGGGGGGTTAGTCGGATATGCTTTGGGTTGTAACGTTTGGGTTATAATGTTAATCGAACTTTCGTGGTTTGGAGGGGGGTCGCCCCCTTCGTTGTCCGAGTACTCCTCCTCAGCCCAAACCCCCTCGTAGCCTGGCCAGCCACATCTTCGGCTGCTCCGAAGCCTCCTGCAGCTGCTGCAGGATATGCTGCAGCGGTACCAGCTGCAGCAGCAGGAGCAGGATCGGCAGCAGCGGCAGCAGGCAGCAGCAGCAGCAGCAGCAGACCCCGAAGTAGCTGCTGACCAGTTTGTGGAAGATCATGGGAGAGAGCAGCAGCAGCAGCAGCACGGCGGCTCGGGCCAAGAGTTGGAGGATCGCTGGTCAAAATAACGTGGGTTAGCACGAACAGTAGTTTCTCGCTGACCCACGTTCACTTGACCAGCGATCCTGCAAATTTGTGCCTCCAAGACCTCAGCGACTCGAGCCTGGTGTCGCTCCTGATCCGCCTCATGCGGGAGGTGCTTTTTCAAGTAAAAAAAAAAAGGTTTGTAAAAAGGGCCGTTTGGGAGCCATTTTTGAACCCGTCTTGGCCCATCTTGGGCCGTCGTGGAGGCATCTTGGAGCCCGTCTCGGCCCATCTTGGCCGTCTTGGACGCATGCTGGGCCGTCTTGGCGGCATCTTGGGGACATCGACATAAAACATAAAACAGAAACCCAAAATCAGCGGCGCCTGGAGGAGAACGAGATGGGGTACTAGGTCTGAGAGTCCGCCGCAGAGGGGTGATCTTTAAGAGGGGTGGGTAAAATAGATGCATATATATAGGTATATATATATATATATGTATGCACATATGTATATACATACAAATTTACATGTGTATATATATATACATATATATACGTATGTGTACACATCCGTTGACAACGTGTGCTCATCATCATAATCATCATCACTATGACCACAGTACTGGTTTCCGAAGCATACTCGATTCTATTCTCTCCAACTCTATTCCGTTATATACTATTCGGTTCGAGTTGTCCCTGTTGCAATTAGGAGTGGTTAGCGCACTTATCGCATGTGCGCCGTAAGCAGTTCCAGATAAGCTAAATGCTCATATTACTTACTCTGTACATGCCGAACTTATGAATTTCTGCTTAATGTTAAAAAGAAGATACAAGAGTTCACAACTTAAGATACCAGTGGTTACAGCCACCCTAAGTACATCGCAAGCACAGCGGGCATTCAAGCCCCCCAGGGCCCCCCCGGGGCCCCCCCCCAGGGCCCACCTAGGGCCCCCCCCCCGGGGCACCCCCAGGGCTCCCCCCCAAGACCCGTCATCGTCGCCATTTCCACGTCCCTGCTCATTCGGATCAGAATCCGAATCGGCATCCGCCCGCCGGGTCAGAATCGAAACCGGAAAAAGCTAGAGGGATCAGACCGGACGCATCCAAATCGGATCGGATCGAGCCGGAACCAGGCCTACCCCGAACCAGGCCGCCGCGACGCACCTCGCTGTCGCCGAGCTCGCCACATCCAAACCGGACCGACCCGGACACCACAAACGCACAGCGAACTGGGCCGAACCAGGCGGCAAAGTTCACAACGACGAACCGAACCGAACAGGAAAAGGTCCGACACCGAACCCAACCGAACCGAACCAGAGGCACTTCGGAACCGAACCGAACCGAACCAAACGGGGCATCCCTAGCATGGGCGCCGACAGTGGCCTTGCTGTCGTCATCGCCATCACCGCAACCAGCATCACTAATATCATCATCGCGTCTACCATTGTCGACGTCGCCACGATACCGCGCCAGCAAAAGTCACCAACTCGCACTGAAATGCCGTCTGGATAATGCCCAGCGGTCAGCGCCACCGCGGCCGCGTCGTTTGCGCCGCATTAGCTGGCCGCTGCGCGCGCGAGCAGGCGCGGGCCAGCGCGGCCGCAGATGCACCAGACAACACGAAGCACTCATCGCAATCGCCACCGCATGGGTGTCGCAAACCAAATCGCGGGTGGGCGGGCGGGATGATTGCGCGAGCAGAGGAATTGGCATTTCCACGTTTTTCAAAATTAACCGCACCGCAAAAATGGCGCCACATAAATTGCACAACATAGAAGTTCACAACACACCTTGCTGGAATTAGGTCGGGCCTGTCCCCCTACAGGAGAGTTTGGACGCAAATATAAGCTAAAAGAGACCCAACAAAAACCAAACATACTCAAAACAAACGTCCCAAACATTTGCTTAAAATATGTTTGAATATTCCTTGGCTGGACTTAATGCTGGAAGCCCGTTGTTGGGAGGGGGGGCGCGCTAGCTGAGGCACGCGCATATACATATGGGAAGATAGCACTTAGGTTAACTCGCGAATCAAGGTTCAGAGAATGCCTCGAACAAAAGACCGCAACAAAGTCCACGCGCGCGCGTCGTCGCTCGCGCACGCTGAAATATTTAACCACAGGCGTCGCACGGATTGCTAGATCGAGGCTCGCGAAACATTCGGGAAGCAACGGTTTGACCGTATGTTTGTTCAAGTCGGCACGCGTTATGCAAATTCTTGAAGCAACCATGCGTTCTTACTAAACCAGCCGTGCGCATTGTTTAACACAAGAAAAGCATCATCATCATCATCTGCGACCACGCGGGCCTTTCGCGCGCGCATGTCAGCGCGCGTGCCAGTAGCTTGCAATTATATGTACACACATATACATATATTTGTATCTACACGACCACCCTTCGGGTAATAAGGAGGTTCGGGGAGGGAGGAACCAACGTCTCACTCGATCGGTCTCACTATCGATCTCACTATCGATCTCAGTATCGGTCTCGCTCGATCGATCTCCCTCGATCGATCTCACAATCGATCTCACTCGATCTATCTCACAATTGATCTGACTATCGATCTCACAATCGATCTCACAATCGATCTCACAATCGATATCACAGTCGGTCTCACTATCGATCTCACTATCGATATCACAACCGCTATCACAATCAACGTCATCATCATCATCATCATCATCATCATCATCATCATCATCATCATCATCATCAACAACAACAACATCAACATCCACATCATCATCACCATCATCATCATAATCGGGACACCGCCCTCACCATCAACACCAACATCATCATCATCATCAGCATCATCATCATCATCATCATCATCATCATCATCATCATCATCACGGTCATCAACATCATCGGGACACCACCATCATCATCATCATCATCATCATCATCATCATCACCATCATCACAATCAGATCAACAGCATCATCATCAGCAGCATCGGGACACAGTCATCGTCATCATCATCATCAGCAGCAGCATCATCATCGGGACACCATCATGATCACCATCGTTATCATCATCATCATCATCATCATCATCATCATCATCATCATCATCATCATCATCATCATCGGGACACCATCATCATCATCTCATCCTCATCATCGACATCATCATCATCATCAGCATCATCATCGTCATCATCGGGGCACCATCATCATCATTACCAACATCAGCATCAACATCATCATCATCATCATTATCACCATCGGGACGCCATCCTCATCAACATCATCATCATCATCATCATCATCATCATCATCATCATCATCATCATCATCACCATCAGAATAATCATCATCATCGGGTGGCCATAATCATCATAAACCTCATCATCATCAACATCATCATCATCGGGACACACTCATAATCAGCATCATCAACATCAACATCACCATACTCATCATCATCGGGACACCATCATCGTCATCATCATGATCATCAACATAATCATCATGATCATCATCATCCTCATTATCGGGACACCATCAGCATCATCAGCATCATCATCATCTTCATCATCAACATCATCAACATCATCATCATAAGCATCATCATCATCATCATCATCATCATCATCATCATCATCATCATCATCATCATCATCATCGTCGGGACACCATCATCATATCATCATCATCATCGTCCTCATCATCATCAGCAGCATCACCATCATCATCATCATCATCATCGTCATCATCATCAGCAGCAGCATCATCATCATCAGCATCACCATCATCATCATCATCAGCATCATCATCATCATCATCATCATCATCATCATCATCATCATCATCATCGCCATCGCGGGACACCGCGGGGCACCGGCGGGACACCGCGGGGCACCGCGGGACACCGCGGGACACCGCGGGACACCGGCGGGACACCGGCGGGACACGCGGGCCACCGGCCGCCCGGAAGGGAATCATTTGGTCC